TTTATTCGATATTTTTATTTCATCATACTGAGATGAGGCAAACTTTTTTCGTAGAATACTAATTGCTCATGCAAATAGCATCATTTTTAGCTCGTCCTTCCCAAGCTTTCCATCTTTGTTCTGGTCAAAACTATCCATTATGCAGCTTTTGAATTTTTTCAGCTCACACGGGTTCTCGATGTCCTGTTGAAAAAAGAAAAATTACAATAACCAACTCTCCCTCTCTGTCTCTAGGTCTCTTTATCTTTGTGCGTCTGCGTGTCTGTCCGTCCTTCTGTCTGATTGTTGGCAATCTCGCTCCCAGGGTCTCTTATCTTCCCTTCTTTCCAGAGCGAGAGAGGAGGGCGGAAAGATGAGAGAACTAAGAACGATTTTAGAAGAAAACTTACCACTTTATTGTTCTTATCGAGAATGTCATAAAGGAGAGCTTCCAACTCCTCATCAGCAATGAAGCCGTTGCCATCCTACGATAAATAAAAGAGCTTTGACTGATCGGCTAACATATTGTGCAGTACTGGATACGTTCTAATAACTATGACTAGAAGACATGGTACGGATATTTTATCGGCGAAAAACCAAGCCTCTTCGCCTAGTCTGACTCGCCCCCAGTCTTCTTTCAGCTCTTCTTTTCACATACGCGCGTAGACTGTTGGGTGCCATCCATCTCTTCAGCAGTTCCTAAGAGTGGGGATGAACCGAGAGAGGACAGGAGCCCTGCTGAGGACGAGGTGCACCATAGGGGACATTTAAACATTGACATTTGACATTGGCAGCCACTGAGATTTTTTTTTGTATGGTGTCTATTTTCTAGCCATGATAAGTGTTGCGCAATACAAACTTCGTTGGCACTTGTTGATACAGTTTTTGAGGCTTTGTTAAACTCAAGAAACAAAAATAGTGTTGCAGGGACAAATGTTGCTTCTCAAGTTTTCAGTGTGGCATCGCGTGCATGGGACTTTGCCCTTCCAAACTGTCGCGTCGTAAATTGACATGAAGTATTATGAATGCGTAGTTGTACCAGCTTATCCTTTTCTCTTTCTTTGTTTCACGATTTCATTGTAATAACAATCATATTTGATTGGTGGACCTAACCCACAAAATACTGTGGGGCCCTCAATGATTTTTGAAACGCCCGGCATACATAGTCACGCATGCAAACCTCGCGCGTTATTAACGTTAACGTGCATGCTACGTCAGTATTGCGGACCTATTTCTTTGGTTTTTACCTGATCATACTTAGACCATATCTCATTAAACTGTGCTTCAGTCATGTCATCCTGAGAAAAATCGAAGCAAAACCACAAATTAAAATTATTTAATCACATCCAATATTCACTCATATGAAATCTAACTTAATTTATGAAGTATTGCAAAATTATTACCCGGTCAAACTTCAGCAGAAAATTGTCTTCGACAGGAAGTATTCTGCAATGAAAATTTTTGTTTATCATAAGAAACTTGCATTACGCTGTTTATCCCTTTTACTTCTAAGATCTGATTGTTCGTTCTCCCTCTGGGTACGGCACATTTCCATGAAAATTAGTTACGAGAATTTAGTGTTCGATCAAGATAACAGCCTCAACCTGATAAGTTTGAGTATTCTCATAACATGCGTGCTGGATAAAAAATAAATGACTAGTTTATTAAACTCTCTGGCAGTAAAGGGCCTGAATTATCGAGTGTATTTTACAATCTTAAGACAACTTTTATCTAAAAACTAAAAATCTACGACTACGATATATCTTCAGGATGTTAGATTGACACACCCTGGCTCTGCGCAGTACTCTAAGGGAGTATAACCTCTTACAAGCTTTCTTATAGTGCATATTATAGAGAGAAGTTACATGTTAATCACTTCTAGAAGCGGCTTTATTGCGCATCATTTCAAAACATGAGACTGCCGGAGTTCATAACCATTGATGAAGTCTAGCAAGGGAATTTCTCGACCTTCACTCGCAGTAAACAACCAGATCGTTAGACAAACGGTAGGAGTTTATCATCAAGGTGACAGTGCTTTTGTATTAATCTTTACTATATTGGTGATGATGCTTACGGCCCTGAAAAAAAGTTTTTCGCACGCATGCTGAATAAGAGATAACAAAACGAACTGCGCGCCTTGCCTTAAAATTGCATCATGCTTTTAAAACGGTCTCCGTAGGGGTGGGTCTCCGTAGGGGTGGGTCTCCGTAGGGGTGTTCAAAGCTCTCCAACCTCCGATACAAGGAAGGGTAACGGGGAAAAGCTAAACAGATGTTGTATGAAGTGAAAAATCAGTAATTGTCTTATAAAATGTCTCCGTAATTAGTAATGAGGACCTATTTTACTGTTACTTGCCAATAAGTGCTGTTTCTGTTGTTTATTAACTCACTTTGACATTTCCGGCAAAGACAACTTTCCATCTTTGTTTTTGTCAAACAAATCCAACTATAACAAAAATATCATAAATTACAAATGTTCCAACATGTAGTCAATAATTCACAAAATTTCGGAATAAATTATAAAACCTAATAACGCACAGACAAAAAGTTCCCATTGGCTTCCAATGAGGCGTAAATTTCTAATTTTCGTAAGGGTAAAAGAAAAATTGCGTGTGGCATGCTGCATCCTAACTGACGTTATAGTGCAAAGACCGGATTGCCCATATTCAAACGGAGTGCAAGACTCGATTGCCAGAGCAGAGCGGTGGAATGTCAGGCATGCGTAACCTAGGGATCAATGTGTATTACTTGTCACTAATCGTGAAATCAGCCCGTGCTCATCCTTCCATCTCGGAAGGATCGAAGACTAGACTCTAATAAATTTTCGAAAATCAACCCTAACAGCAACCAACATAATAAGCTACATGTATTGCACACTCAGAATCGCACAATCAGGCCCTTTGAGTAATGACCTCTTTAGTTATGGCAGCCAGGAGCCCATCGCCAGGGGAGAAAGTCTCCCGTAGTTTATCTCAAGAATGCCTGAAATCTTAGCGTTCTCAATAACATTTACGATAATACCATGGCTTTTTGGTAATCGGTGATTCTCTGCGGATTCAGTGATTGTCCTTCTCGGCCAAGTAGATCTGTTAAGAATCCCTAACGAAGAACATGAAGCAAAAAGTTTGAGTGAATACGCTTGTCGTCTTTTGAACTTAAACCTAGTCCAGTCGCTGGTCCTCTCAGAGAACCTGAACATATTCCACAGTAGGAGAGTTTGAATTATTTTGTTGTGCAAATGTTTATCAAATAAGACCATATTGTTTAGCAGCGTTTTTTTACATCATGCGGAGAGAAATGGTTTAGTTCAGCCTATTTTGGTGATCGTTGTAGATAGATGGAGGTAAAAAAAAAAAAAACCCAACACATGCATATTGTATCAGAGGGGTGGGTATATTTCAACAGTTTACAAATGAGGGGTTATATGAACTGATCAAATTTTTGTTCAAACCACTTGTCGTGAAATAATTGCCTACTCCTCGCTAATAAATACCTTCTAATATAATTTTCATTTGTCTAAAGTTTACTTTTCAGAATCTGTACCTCCAGTTCGTCACTCTCAATGAATCCTGAATGATCCTGATCATAATGGTTCCACACCTTCAAAAAATAATCAGAATTGATTATTGTACTGAATGATCCTTTCATTAGGGCCCGACCATTTAACTTTTGAGGAGAGGGGGGGGGGTCATTTCTGGTCATCGAGAAATTTTTTTTCTAGCAATTTGCTGTGCAGGATATTTTTTTCCGATTTTTTGGTACATTTTTACTGTTACATTTGGGCTGCATGCAATTTTTTTCTTCCCTGACAAGCGCTTGCAGGAAATTTATTTTCAAAATCACCCACCCCGCCGTCAAAAGTTAAAAGGTCGGCCCCTTAGTAAATAGGACTGATGCCATCAATTAAGATGCTGTGGCCTCCTCGCAAACTTTAATCCCTTAATTAAGAGTGATGATAATCTATTTTCTCCCAACAGCATCACCCCTGAATCAAGCATTAAGTCATCCTCGTTTCCGGGGTCTCTCATCTTCTCACCACCTGGAGCGAAGGAAGGGGGCGGAAAGATGACAGACCCTGGGAACGAGGTTGGCATTAAGTTCATGAGAATGGGGGAAATGATCGCAAGGTCAAAAAGCCCTCGATTACTAAGCAAATTCTCCTCGTAGGTAGCATAGAAAACGTATAAAGGACAGTGTGGAGGACTTACAAAACGATGTTAGGGTGTGCAAGCGGTATAAAAGAAAAGACAAGCCCATTATTTGACAAGGAAGGAAACTGTTTACTTGAAAATCAACAGAACTTGTTTGTTCCAACAAGACTTTCTTTCCTTTTTTTCAGGAATAAGGGAAATTTGAAATAATGGTATGTACAAATCATTTTGATGCGGGCTGGATTTCGGCCAACTACCTAAAATGGAGTTACAAACCTTGAAAAAGTCAACATTAGTTAAGATGTTTGAATGTTGGAACTTAGCCAAGAAATTTTCCTCGGTGGGCAGGATATTAGCAAGCTGTGAAGAAAATATTAAGGAAAAAAGTCAAGTATGTCTAGATCGATCGACTGATTAAAGCTATACTTCTGCGAAAAGATTGATATTCGTACCTGCTGTGCCTGTCTTGTAAGTTGTCTCGACTCGTCATCTGGTTCAGCTTCGAAGCTGGCCCTCGTTCAACGAATCTCATCGGATTTTTTTTCGGATCCATTTTCGGCTTTGTCAAGGTGTAATTTTATGTCAGTCTCACCACTGCATTTCGACTATTATTACCCGAAAGATTTGAACGTAAAAGCTGCGTCGTCAAACGTTCTCACATGTGCGTTTTGCTCTGAACATATCTAACATTATGATACCCTTTCAAGAAGAGTACAAATTGACAGGGAGAAAAAGGAAAAAGGAAAGAAAAACAAAGACCAAAAGATTATTGACGAAGCTGTGACCTCTAAATTAGCACGCTCTGCATTCCTAACGCAATAGGTATCATTGTTCTAGGTATGCAGAGCGTGCGACATAGCAACGTTTTGTATATATACAAATACATTTGATACATATTTGATAAATTATGTGTTAATTCTATTTATTTCCTGCCATAAATTTGGAATTTTTCACTCTATATAAGTCAGCCATAGTATCCCTTGCAGCCCTTTCCGGCGTCGTCACGCAAACGAAAACTCCCCCACCAACGGCTGCTCACATTCGAACAACATTCCTTTCCGGAAATTGGCCAATCAGCATTTACTTACCATATTCTGAAAAGCGTTCGCGCCTCAATAATCAAACCAATCACTGAGTTCCTATTATCCGAGCGTTGAAACTGACAAAATGAAGACGCTTTCGACTTAGTGCGAGATACTTTTGGTATTGAGAGCTTGACGCATCAGAGAGAAGCTATAACAGTAATTATAGAAGAGAGAAGAGATGTTTTTATAAATTTGCCCACAGGATTTGGGCAAACAAAACAGCGATCATTATCTGATATTTTCTTCGGAGTATCCATGACATCAGATTCTATCTTTAGAAACTAACGCTAACCCGCTTCCTGTGAATTCGCAAGAATAAATATATCGCGTGTTCATTGGTTGTTTGTCAGACAATAACTTTATTTTCATTGGATAACACATTACAATAGGAAAGGAATGTTGTTCGAATGTGAGCAGCCGTTGGTAGGGAAGTTTTCGCTTGCGTGACGACGCCGGAAAAGGCTGCAGGGGAGACTAAGTCAGCCAAAGCAAAGGGAAAATGAACTTACCTCTTCTAGATCGAGTTTGCCATCAAAATTATCATCATAGCCCTGGAGAATTTCCTCCTTCATCTCTGCAATTTGCTTTGAGTCTGGTTCGCCCTGTTTTAAGACAAAAGCTCGTTAGCTATTATCTCTAAAATATTGAAGGAAAATACAAAAAACGCAACCTTTCAGAATGAAATTCTGGGCTTATATCCTCGGCATTTGTTTGTCGTGTTTTCGTCTTTGTTTTTTTTTTCTTTTTTCGACCAAACTTAGAAATACAAGCAGACTCCATTCCTGCAAAACTATTGATTTAGACAGATGTTAATGCTATGACTGGCGCCATAGCAATGATATGACGGCTCTTAATGTGGAAAGGAAAATTATCAGCTTATTAAGAATTTGACTTGGGATAGTATCGCTTTAATGCAGGCTATGGGAATCTGCTTAATTTGAGTATGCTTTCGAGAGGTTTCAGACTAATAGGAAAGTCATCATCTGAGAGTTGAGTGAGTCGAAGATTTAAACATAATCTCTCACCTACTAATTCTTTTTCAGTAGAAAGAACGAGATTTTGGTCAAAAATTGATGATAAAATGGGAAAATAAAAGAATGACAGTTGTACCACTTTCTTTTCTTTTGCCAGAGCAATGAGGAAGTCATCCAGTTCACCAGCTTCGATAAAACCATTTTCTAAGATGTAAACGAAAAGGACGGATTAAAAAACAATAATGCAAAAATGACATCTTTTCAGAAAGCAGTGAGTAATTTCCTACGAGGATCATGCTGTAAAGTAGGTTTATTTTTAGTACACGTTTCACCTGTTATGCCTGGATGAAAGACTAAACACAGGATGCTTATGACTTACTGATTACGTAGAAGAGATCGTGTGATAAAAGTGGATCTTATTCCGATATTGCATGTTTAGGTTCTCTGGCAGCTTTCGATTCTCGAATGCAATGGTGACTTAGCTGTTTAAACACTTCGCACATAACGGATGGCATATTTTGAAGGACAACTAGAAAATGTTCCCTCGATGAATAAATAAGCGATCACTTCGCGCATTAACGGATAAGTTGGTAGCGTTCGAGCTTCATTACAAGGCTTTCGTTTTAGTTCGATTTGTGAAAAGAGCCAAATTGACATCATAATCAGTCATGTTTACACTCCACTCTGCATAATTAGAAAGACAGCTTTTGTGACTTTTCATGGTTAAGTTTTCATTTATCACTTTTTTTTCGCTGAGGTATTAAATTTCTTGTATTACACTGAATTTTACATCTTTATTTATTATCCGGCTAGTACATACCTGAAGACGCTATCATGTATCTGAAAACTATAGTAATTTTTTTCTTCTGGCGTCGTTTAATTTGTTAATTTTGCGTATTTTTTTTTATCTTAGCTCAGTGCATTTCGTAAGGGATCTTCTGGAGAATTGCAAATACATTCAGACAGGCTATATTTCATGCCTATGTTTCGAGACAGGAGCTTTAAAAACTTTTATCAATAATCCGCATGTCAAATTTGTGTGCGAATTTAAACAATCCAGACAGGCTTGCGTTTAATTTCTTTTATATCGATTTGTGGCAGTTCATTCTCAACAATATGAGACGTTGTTTTATCAAAATTCTGCGATATGGAAGTTTGTATTCAGCTTCGGACTTATCTGTTTCGCATAAAACGAAAAGCAACAGAAGTTGGCTTTACAATTTTAAAGATTTGGTAAATATTGAATCATTAAAGGGCACTGAACTGCAGTGAAGCTAGTTAAAAGACACTTAAATTGGTTTATAATAATAATGTCAAGAAAATTTGGTAGGGTTCTTGTTTATCTCGGATGTTGACTGGTGAGGCGATGCATGTCTTTGCTTTCGGCATACTCTGATGAATTAAAAATGCTCCTGTTTGGCATGATATATTATTTACGCGCCTATGGGTGTGGCGGTGAAAACACGAAACCATAGTGAACTTCATTAATGTTAATTTCTGATCTAAAAAGGAAGAGTGATTATGTAGATAGGTAACGAATATCAGTGAATATGAACTTTTTTAAGGGTATCGCTTGACTTAAACCCACATGGAAAAATCATGGACGAAACTTATTCTTTTCCTCCTCATTAAATATTTACAACTTTTGATCTTTGAAATCATGGCTAACCTTAGCAATATCCGCTATCTGTCAGCACGGAAGACGCAATTCTTTCTCAGCCTAAGGCGATAAGGCGAGACTGAAGCCTGTGCGAAAGGGTTATCGTTCAGTTGTTTTATTCAAGTCCCAAAATTTTTTAAACTATGTCGAATAGACGAATTAACCGCAGCGAAATGAATAATTAAAGCTGAAGGTGCACAATTATTTTTTGTAATTTGGCCGAGTAGCGAGAAATACATTCTCTTCAAGTGAAGTGAACTGTTGTGCTCTAGGTTATGCTAATGATTATCTGCAGAGTGTCCCACAAAAAACAAAGGAAAATGAAGGAAATTTGAATTTAAATAAAGTATTCTATTTTACGATGCACGGACTAAGGATGTACCTCATGATGGTTTTTATTAGACCAACGAGATTTCCTACAAATGATCGATGGTCTTTGTATTAGATTTTCTTTATACATTTATGTGGTTTACTCCTCTATTCCAATCCACAGAATTTATTTTTTCTTTGAGTTGTCAGTCAAGCTGATTTAAGCCTATAAATTTCGCGTCAATTTTAAAGCACAAGCAGTTGGTCAACTAAACAACTTAGTTACCGACGAAAAGAGCAAAAATAATGCGCTCTTTCAAGAAATCGAAAAAGGAAAATCTATGCAGTAAAAATTCGACTGTTGGACGGCCTCGCAAGAAGAACCTTGAACTGTTTGCTCTGCAAAGTGATGGGCAATATTACAAAAATACTCACCGTCTTTATCAAATTTCTTGAAAATCTTCAAAAAATCGGCGGAAGTTATCTCTGCCTTTCCTTGGAAACTCTTCACAAATGGAGCCACAGAACCTTTATCAGCCATCTTCCCAGAAATTGCTAAAATGAATGGTAAACACCAGCCGTTAGCGTCTTAAAAACCAAGTTGAATAAATTATGCCACAACGTTCTTTGTTCAGTGACAGTTGTCTTAATTGTATTTCATTGTTCCAATCAACGCAGGCGGCGAGGGACTTTCCCAGCTTTCCTCCGATTTTGAATAATTAAGACGCATAATTTTTCTATTTCCCTCAGTTTTAATTGGTTTTATTATGAAGCGAACTCGATCACTAAAACATTTGACTACAATATCTACACTCATGCAAGCAGCACATACCACCGAGAGTTCTCTGAGCATTTTCAATCTCACCCGTGAGCCTACAAGTACCTTCACATTAACTTATAGATTAGTTTTCCCAAAAAGTTTCTTTCTCGCATTGGTTTATAGTTATCAGACCCTCTCTATAACTAATCAATTAACACCACCAACTGATCAACAACCGTGCGTCAATCAATTTAACTCTGAAACGGCTTTACATGCGAGGTTTCCATCGATCTAAGATTGTTGCATGCAACAGAGCTTATCCGTCATCGAACAGGTGCAACGAAACATATAATGATAATATAAGAATATTAATAATAGTAATAATAATAAAAATGATGGGATAATACTAAGGGTAATCATGATCTGACCTCATCGCATGATTTCTGCTGGATGAACAACGGTAGAAGCGGCATAGATGGCCTTAAAGTTTTTCCTCGTGAGCTAGAGATCGCTAAAGCTTCCAAGCTGGCGAAAAACCATCGTATGACAATGAAAAAACCCTAAAAAGGGCTTCATGCCTAATAAACGATCAATATATATCTATATATATAAATTCAAATGTAAAAATTTAAAAAACATTATCCTTGAATCGGAGAGTGCTCTATAATCATATGGAGCTTTGTAAACGATTATTTAGGAAAATAAAAATTAAAACTTGGTACTACAGATCTGTTTCGAAAGGGTTAAAAGTCCTCCACCTGACGAGAGAGGACTTTTAACCCTTTCGAAACAGATCTGTGGTACCAAGTTTCAATATTTATTTTCCTAAATAATCGTTTATATATATAAATTCTGTATACGAGGGAAACTCTGAGCCTGTAGACCCCAAATAATCATACTTGAATAGAATGAATGTTTGAAAAGAAAATTTGCCCCGAGTGGGTTTGAACCCACGTCCCCCTGTTGCTAGTCAGGTGTGATGACCACTACACTATCAGGACAACCATGCTGGCAACACGGCAATCGATGATGTGATTTACGTGATCGGAGAGACTACCCTGTCACCTTGATAATTAAGTTTCCCGGGAGACCACGTCTCCGATCACGTAAATCACATCTTTGATTGCGGTGTTACCAGCATGGTTGTCCTGACAGTGTAGTGGTCATCACACCTGACTAGTAACAGGGGGGATGTGGGTTCAAATCCCACTCAGGGAAAATTCTCTTTTCAAACATTTATTCTCTCTCTCTCTCTCTCTCTCTCTCTCTCTC